GTGAGGAAACAAATCAACCTCTATTAACCCCTTCTGGGTAGGTAGAGGTTGATTTGGGTCCTGGCTTGTTGGTGTTCAACACCTCTCCTTTTCCTTGTACATCCCTCTTTCCCCTTCTTCTTTCTCTTGCTTCTCCCTCATCCTTTTCTTCTCTCTCTTTTCCTTTTCCTCCTTCTTCTGTCTCTGGGAACACACCTGGATGCACTCACTTATACCCCTCTTTTGGTTGAGTATTTGCAAACTGGTGTGCACCCCCTACCTTTATGGTTTCTGCTTGGATTCATCTTGGATGCTGTGTGGATGGCATGGATAATCTTTCTGGCTTTGTTTTGTGAATTCTCTCATCAGGGTAGAGCACCATCACCTTATGCCTGAGTACTCCATCCTAGCTCATTTGTGTGAGACAGGTTTTGACTTGGTATTATTTGGTGCAAATGGTCCATTGGTGCTTCTAAACTCCTGATGGATTTGGTCCTGCTGTTACTGTGCTTTGAGCCTTCAACCAGAGTTGGAGTACCTGCTGATCTCACCCTACTTCACTTGAGTGAAACATATTTCAGCCTTGGATACTTCAATGGCCCCCCTTCTTAGTCTACTACCAAGATAGCTGTACTTGGATCTGTGATGCTGTGTGCTTTGTTTTATGCTTGCATTGTTTAGGGCCTGATGCTTTTCCTTGCTGGAAGCTGTGAACTCGCCCAGGCTTTGCAAGCAGAATGGACATGGATCTGTGATGCTGTGTTGCTGTGTGTATTGATCTTATGCCTGCACTGTGATTAGGGCCTGATGCTTCATGTCTAAATGCTGGAAGTTATGAACTCGCCCAGGTTTTTTGCAAGTGGAATGGAATGAACTTTGCCTTGTCAGTGCACTTATTATTGCTGGTGTACACTTGTCTCAGATTTTATTTGATGTAACGGAGTTGTTTGTCTTGTGTTAAGACAACCTCCTATTCTTGGTTTTTGGTTAGATTGCATTTCCTTGTGTTAGTGCTTTGGCTTTGTTGTATTACAATTGAGTTGTAATTTCTTTTGTAGATAGTTGTAACTTAAGCAAGTAACCACGTTGTGGTTAAGCTGTTGACACTTTGTATTTCTATTCGTTTGATTTGGGTAATAATAATTTACATGTTACCCGTTGAAAGAGCTCTCAATAATGGCGGACAGAGTTTCTCTCTCTGGCGATCGCGATGAACAGTAACCGCGCACTAGTTCTGTCCATTTTCCAGCGTGCTCTCTTGGATTGCTCCACCTATGGTTGCAGATTGGTCTTCTACACTCTAGGGCGAGCCTATCCATCCTGATTTCCAGCGGCATTGTTCAAGATTTGGGATTCAACGAACTACCTAGGGTTCGCGACACTGTTCATCATCTTCTACAACAAGCTTCCCGATGGTTTTCTGGTAAGTGTGGCTGGCCCTTCCTTTGTTTTGAGCTGTTCTTAGATGGCGAAGGGCAAGAAGAAGGAGCGTAGACCTCCACCCCCACCCCCCCGAACAAGAAAGAGTTGCGTAACTTTCTTCGTGATATGGAGGGTGAGTCTGGGGCTGGAGGTGAGACTGTGGATTCTGTTGAGAATGTGGATAACTTTCCGGTTATGACTGAGGAGGATTTCACCCCGTGTTCCAACACTGGTGATGTGACTGTGGAAGAAGACGATGACTCTGAATCCCAGACTCCTTCTCTGGATGAGGAAAGGTTTGAGCAAGAACTGTAGAAGGATAAGCCTGGCACCAGCAATGGAGATACTCCAGTAGTTACCCCAGTAGCTAATCCTGAAGCTCCTGAAACTGTTGAACCTATTGGGAAGGAAAACTGTGAGAATGAAACTGGAGACAATGATGGCAATGCACCTGGTAACAAAGTGGATACACCTGCTGAGAAGAAAAGCTTTGCTTCACTCTTTGAAAAGAACAAGTCTGAGGATAAAGGTATGAAACTCCACCAGGTGGAAATGACTAATGACTGAGGATGAGGAGGTGTTTATCCAACCTGAGGATGTGACCCCAATGGAGGAATTATGGGGACCTTGCTTGGTTGGCTGTTTTACTGGCAGGTTCCCTGGGCTGGCACCCATTCAAACATTGGTGGAGTCCTGGAAAGTACCTTGCCAATTCCTCCCTCATCATAAGGGCTGGGTGGTCTTCAAGTTCCTGAACAATGAAGATAGAGACTCAGTCTTGCATAGGGATGACCACAGAATCAACAACAAGAAGCTTTTACTCAACATCCCACAGGATGGATTCATGTGGAATGCAAAATCTTTCTCTACCATGCCAGTTTGGGTGAAACTTATGGATGTTCCTATGCAGTTTTGGGGTCCTAACAGCTTGTCAAAGATTGCTTCAAAACTTGGAAGACCACTCTTCACAGATGGTCTGACTAACAAGGTTGCCTCCAAACTCACTGTGGAGAAGGACCCAGAGGACAATCTGGCCTACAAGAAACCCAATTTCTGTAGAGTCCTCATCCATATGGACCTCTCCAAACCTCCCCCTTCCTGTATGAAGGTCAATTTTGTTGGAGGCAGCTATTCACAATTTGTGGAGTATGAGGATCTCCTCCTCTACTGTTATCACTGTGAGAAATTTGGGCATACTCCTTTTGACTGTGCTCAGCTTTTTGAAATGGAAAGGAAGAAGGAGCATGAGGAACAGAGGGACAGGGAGAAGGCCAGAGTGGAAGTCCTGAAAACCACTCTCAGAACAGATACTAGGGACAAACAGGATGGCAAACAGGGTGGCAAACAGGGGCAGGACAAAAATCATGGCAAACAAAAGGAGGGATTGGAGCATACTGTTGCTCAGAAAGCCCCTGTTAACCCTGATGAACCCTCACCTTCTTTCACTAGGAAGGATGACAATGATGGATTCACATTGGTGGGAAGAGGCAAAGGAACCCTAACTACACATCCTTTGAAGCCTCAATACAGGAGAGAAACTAGAAGTATGGGGCGTGGACAGACACATGGATACAGGAATGGTGCAAACAGAGGAAGGGGAAGGGGTCCAGGCCCTAACTCTTAAATGAAGGTACTCTGCTGGAACTTTAGAGGCCTTAACAGGGCCTCTAAGCAATCTTTTTTGTGTAAATACATTATGGATCTTGGGGTGAACTTATGCTGCATTTTGGAAACCAAGATGACCCAAGCAAAACTTAAACTTTTTGTCAACAATAAACTTCCTTCTTGGGCTTCAACTGATAATTTTGATATGATTGATGATGGAAGGATGGCTATATTATGGAACCCCAATTTTGTTAACTGTCAAGTTTTGGAAGTTGCTGATCAGTATATCCATTGTGGGATTTTTTGTACTATTACCCAGAAAACTTTTCACATTACATTTGTTTTTGCCTTATACAATGTAAGTGTGAGAAGGAACCTCTGGGACAGACTCACTGATATTGCTGGCAGAATCAACACTCCCTGGGCTATTATGGGAGATTTCAATGCTGTTTTGGACTTTAGTGAGAGGGTTAACTGTCATACCTATGCTTATGATATGACTGACCTCTTACAGTTTAGACTCAATAATGATCTTCTTGATGCTAAGGCTACTGGTATGCAATTCACTTGGAACAGAGGGAGCAAGTGGGCTAAGCTTGACAGGGTCTTGGTTAACTGTGAATGGGACCTCCTTCAGTGGGAGTGGGACTGCTGGGCTGACTTTAAACCCATGGAATTCCAATCTGATCACTGCCCTGTGGTCTTGAACCTCATTGACAACACTAACCTGGGACCAAAACCCTTCAAGTTTTTTAATATGTGGATGCAACATGAACTTTTTGACAGTGTGGTTAGACAGATTTGGGATACTAGAATCACTGGCACTAGACAATTCAGATTATGCAGGAAACTCAAATTGCTGAAACACCCTTTGAAACAACTTAATAAGAAGGAGTTTGGCCACATCTCTACCAGATGACTGATCCACATAACTCAGCCCTCATTGAACAAGCTGCCAGCCTTAGGAAAAAGGCAACCTTTTACAGTGATGCTGAGAGATCCTTTTTCTTACAGAAGGTGAAATGCACTTTTATCAATGAGGGTGACAAATGCACCAAGTTCTTCCATGCTATGATGAAGAAACAGAAAGTGCTGAGTGCCATCCCCTTCATTATCACAAGCCAAGGCTCTACCACAACATCTTCTGAAACTATTGTTGAGGAATTTATTGCCCATTATAGCAACATTTTTGGTAACACTGTGCCCACAACCCCTATTGACTGGAATGTTTTTAGGGAGGGCCCCCTTGTGCCACAACATGAAATCCATAATTTGATCAAGCTTGTTGACAGATCTGAGGTTAAAGAAGCACTATTCAGCATTGGGAATGAGAAATCACCTGGACCTGATGGCTACACTGCTGCTTTCTTTAAACAGAAATGGAATATAGTTGGAAATAACCTTTTTGAGGCTGTGTCCGAGTTCTTTACTAGTGGAAGACTTCTCAAGCAAATTAATCATGCAACTGTGGTTCTAATTCCCAAGGTTAAGGAAAACCCCACTGCCAAAGATTATAGACCCATTGCATGTTCAAATGTGCTCTATAAAGTTATCACAAAGATCCTGTCTAATAGGATGGCTTCCATCCTCCCTGATCTTATTAATCCTGCATAGGCAGCTTTTATCAAGGGCAGAAGCATGGTGGATAATATTCTGTTGGCTCAACATTTGGTTAGAGGATATGCTAGAAAGAGATCCCCTCCTTGTTGCATGCTCAAAGTTGATATTTCTAAAGCCTATGACACTATTTCATGGGCTTTCCTGGAGAATACAATGCAAGGTCTTGGCTTTCCTCCCAAATTTGTGGGTTGGGTGATGGAGTGTGTTACAACTGCTTCCTTCTCCCTTTCTATCAATGGAGGTGTGCATGGCTTCATCAAATGTAAAAGGGGCATCAGACAGGGTGACCCAATGGCACCCACTTTGTTCTTATTCTGCATGGAGTACTTCTCAAGGTTGATCAGGAGGATGTTGTATGGGAGCAGATTCACTCACCACCACAGATGCTCTAAACTTGGTATCACTCATATTACTTTTGCTGATGATGTGATGATGTTTTGCAGGGGGAACAAGGATTCTGTTACTGTCCTGGCCAACACTATTCAGAATTTTTCTCAAGTATCTGGCCTTTTTGTTAATCCCCTCAAATCCAACATCTTTTTGGTTGGAGAAATCAAGGACAGCAAGTCTGATCTCTTGTCCTTGGTTTCCTTCCCTGAGGGGAAACTTCCTGTCAGATACTTGGGACTCCCTTTGACTTCTCAAAGAGCTTCAGAAAGAGACTTTGCCCCCCTTATTGCCAAAGTGGATGAGAATATCAGGAAATGGAACACTAAGTCTCTATCTTCTGCTGGCAGACTGGAATTGATCAGAAGTGTGATTCAAGGTATTGAGGGTTTCTGGTTTCAGGCTTTTCCCATTCACAAATCAATTTTGGATAGAATCACTACCCTCTGCAGAGTTTTCTTGTGGGGAAGTAAATTCTGTAAAGTGGCCTGGGATGACATCTGTAAACCCAAAGATGAAGAAGGTTTGGGACTCAGAAACTCAACCATTTGGAACCAAGCACTACTGGCTAAGTGCTTCTGGAACATTGCAGCAAATAAGGAAACCTTATGGATACAATGGGTGCATTCTGTCTACCTCCAGGGCAGTGACTTTTGGACCTGGAATCCTAGCAAAAAGGATTCACACTTCTTCAAGAAGATTGCTGAGATTAGGGACTCTCTTTTGCAAAAGTGTGGTGATAGATTCATGATTGAAGACAATTTGTGTGACATGGGGGATATTAAAGCCACCAAGGTCTATGATCTTTTGAGGTCCAAGGGTAACATTAGACCTTGGATGAAAGCAATTTGGAAGCCTTATATCCCTCCTAGATATTCCTTCACTGTTTGGCTTACCCTACGTGGAAGACTTCCCACAAAAATGAATCTCCATTTCCTACAGCTAGATAATAGGAATTGTGAGTTCTGCCATACTGAGGAGGAAACTGCCCAGCACCTCTTCTTCCTTTGTGAGAATACTGCTCTCATTTGGGGAGCCATCAGAAACTGGCTTAATATTGCACCAGCCTTATCCACACTGGAGAGAGCCATTGAATGGGTAGGAAGACAGAGACATAGTCATTGTGCTAAGAGGAAAATGTGGAGGCTGGCAATCATGTGCACTGTGTACACCATCTGGAGAAGCAGAAATGGATGCTACTTTGACCATGGAGGATTCAACACTGATACTATCATTTACAAAATCAAAGTGGGGGTATATAAGGTGATGCAGAGATTATACCCCCAGGAATCCCTAATCCCTTGATTGCTCTGCTAGTGACCAGCCTCTGGAGATTCTACTTTGTTTGGGTTCCCTTAGAACCAAGGTAAAGTCTTTTTTGAGGATACCTTGGGTCTAAACTTTGTGATTTTCCCTCTCCTCCAATGATAACTCTGTGTTTGAGGAGTGGTTGATCTTTGCCTGACTGTTTGGGGTGGTGGAAATGAAGTTAACCCTTTGACCCTGTGTGGGCTGAAGGGTTAACTTCAGGTCCTGGACTGACTTGGAAACAGCTCAAATACTATGTACCCAGTTTCTGGATTACTAAAGTTTGAGTTGGGTCCAGATTTGGTCCTTGGGGTGCTGGAACAGTCTCTCTTCTGAGATAGATGTTCCTTGGGTTTGGGCCAGCCTCAATGGCTTAGTCTCTGGACTATGGTATTGGGGTGGTGGAAACAATTTTACCTCTTTATACCCCTTCTGGATATAAAGAGGTATCATTGGGTCCCGGTTGGAGTGTTTTCACCCATCCTCTCTCTTTCTTCCCCCCCCCCCTCCCTTCTTTTCTTCCCCTCTTTTCTCTCTCA